TGCAGAGGCAGGAAGGTGATGGTGGTGACTCACTGAGAAGGGAAGGAAGAAGTATCTCCTCTGGGAGGGCTGTGGGAATGGCAGGCACAGCCAGGTCTGGAGCCGGGTGGGTGGGTGGGAAGGGGTTGAAGAGAGTGGTGTCTGGAGCTCCTGGAGTCAGAGGGAACCTGGGGGTGAATGCCAAAGGCTGGTCTGTGGTTTGTGATAGGGGGTGATGGGCACTCTTTTGATCAAGGGGGAGTTAACAAACCTTTTGCTTCTCATTTTGAAGCTGCTTTGCAAATTTTTCTGCTTTTTCTTCCTCCTCTAGCCCGGAATGCACTGCATTAATTATTTCTAGGGGTGTACTTGGCCTAATAGCTTGGTTCACTAGTAATGTAAAGGTTTGTTCAGCAAAAAAGGTGGCTACAGCTAATGAATAATTACTTCTGATTTTTCTGAGAGTTTGGAAACTGGTAGTTTTTGGTACTTTTTTCTGGTAGATCTCTGTGTTTTCTGTGGTCGCTTTTACTCACCGTTGACATTGGCTTGTGGCCTTACCTTTCCCCTACAGAATAATCATAAAACTGCTCAAAAATGGGTGAACTGATAGGGAAAGAGATACAATAATAATAATAATGAAGCTAAAAAAGGAGAGAAAACAGACAAACTTCATGGTCTTTAAACAAGCTATTTCAAAACAGCAAGCAACTTCTGAAGCACAGGTCAGCTGGTACCGCTCTTATTGCTGTTACCATAGCAGAAACACAGAAATGTGATTAAATAAATAAAGCTAATCAGAAGCAAAAAAACAAGTTTGCAGTAAAAACAGCTCAAGTTAACCTATTCTCAGAGGACTCTGAAAGAAAACATACTTCTAAAGATGTGCTGTGAGAGATTTTAGGCACAGCTGCAGGAAAAAAAAAAAAAAGGTATCCTTTCCCTTTCTTTGGAAGGATTAAATCTGTCCTGGACATTAACCAAAGTGGACAAATGGGCCATCAGACAGAAACAACAGACTGAAGCCCAGAATGTGAAAAACTATGAGAAAGAAGAAAAATGTCCTGGAAAAAAGGCTATTGGATCTTTTTAAGGAACTTTAATGACAGCGTAAGCAACCCAGGCACATTAATTCTATCTTTACTTGTTTCTTGTGATATGGGAAGTATCCTAAGAGGAATTAAAAAAGTTCTAGCAGACAAAAAAGGATAACAATTCTCCTGGCCTGTGTCTATAAATCCATAAAATATGTAAGTTGATGGTAATCTATGTATGTCAGACTGTTCCACAGGAGGTAATGTAACATTTTCCGAATTATAAAGGACATGAAAATGTCTGATCTGTGTAGCTGGATGTGTAACCAGTCTCTCTTTCTTTAAGGCAGGTCTTCTGATTATGCTACAAATGTTAACAAATACCTAAAAAAGGAACAAAAACCCCAAGTCTTTGTCTCCTCTATGTAGTATAGGGCAGAAACTGAAAGTACTTAGGCTCCATGTTTAGAACTAAAGGAGTTTACCTCTGAACTGGAATGAAATGAAAGGCCGGAGCTGTAAAGAGCAGAAAGCATTACTAAGATCAACATTTGGAAATGAAGCTGTGGATCTGGGAGGCAGTTTTAAAGTCTGTTCCCATGGCTGAGCAAAATTCCTGCAGCACGGGTGTCACGCTGGAGAGCTGGAGCGTGTTTGCCGGGACTGTGGACAGCCAGAAGTCTTGCTGTTCAGAGAGATGACTGTCTTTTCTCAGCTTGACAAATGACACGCAGCACTGACAGAATACTTCTCCTTTGCTGGCCATCACCCCTCCGGACACTGGCCAGAACAGCAGCAGCAGGAACATACCCTCCAACTCTGATTTAATCACATGGAGCCCAGGAGACTATTGAATAGAGCTGTTAACTCTCCCTTCGGTTTGCTTTTCCCATCTGTGTTTTATTAAACCGAGAGCAAGATTTATTCACTTTCTTAACATCAGGAGCTGCTGGTGTCCAAGATGATGGTTGATGTTAAGGTATACATACACAGTTTAACCTGGCTGAGGGCCAAGGAGGCCTATGATTTCCAGCCTCGGCTCTTTGCAAAAGGACACAAAATCCCTCTGCTCTCAGCCTGTTCTGAAAGGATGAGCACCGCGACTTCCCGCTCTGCCAGGAGCACAATACATAAAGAACACACCAAAACAGTAGGCTCTCCAGGCACGCAGGCAAACACTTCAGCTCTACTTCACTCCTGACAAACCCCTACGTAGCCGCAACTACCGACGATTTTTCGGATTTCCACTCCAGGAATCTTAAATAGATCGGAGATACCAGCTCAGTGTATAAATATTTCGTCTAAAAGCCAAGAATCCTGACTGGCTCGGCTGGGGAATTGCACTTTATGGGAACTGAAATGATGTGCCAGGCTCTCTGCTGTAAGGTGGGGTGGCTGAAGCACAGAAACTTGCGTGTCTTACCAGCTACCACAAGGATAACACTCCTGAAGGAGAAGAAGAGCAACCAAAAGAGGGGATTTTGAATAGCTTCGAAAAGATAAACTTCTCCTCAAACAGTAGGGTTAACTCAAGATAGAAAGATCTAGTGTGCATTTTTTGCAGAGATTTCTTTTAAATACATCAGTTTCATCGCTAACAGATAAAGCTCCCCAAACCCAGAGCTTCAAGGCAAACAGCCTCCAGCCAACATTCTTGATGCTTTCCCAAAACTTCTGGGCATTTTTCTTCTGAACAAGAAGCTCCTTTCCAAAACGTACCACTCTCCCCCTCATCTCTTAATTATCACTCATCTCACCAAAGGAAATGTGGTGACATCCAAGTTCTCTGTTGTCTTGCTACTGTCCCTGCAAGTACTCTGTGGATCACAAGGTCTGCCAGGTTCGTTGTTATCTACAAAAAACCCTGCATTTAGGTCTTTCAAGGCAAATGACTTCATAAAATCATATGAAAATCATATTAACTGTGGCACCTACACAGAGCATCATCGTATTACAGTGATTCTTGTCATACTAAGCTTCATGGTACCCCCATATGGCAGCAGCAAGTCTTCTGAATACAAGACAAAATTGTTACTTCAGTAATTAGAAAATAAACTCTCTCTCTCAAACTATTGGTTTGCTTAAAACAGTATTTGTATCACTCACATATCCATTTTCCCCAGATTTAAGACAGGCTGCAGAATCTGGTTCCATGTGTGATAGTTCCTGTTCTGAATTGACTTTCAATGTTAAACCAAAAAAAAAAAAAGAAAAAAAGCAATGGCTTTTGTTACTGTTTCATTCAAGAAGAATGGTCTTTCCATGCTCTTTCACATTTTTATCATCTGTGAGATGACAGTAGGAGCTGTGCATGAGCCAGTACAAATTAAGCGGTATTCATGTGCTTTCTCTTTTATAGCTTTTAAGAATACTGGCAGAAAATGATGGAATCTGCAAGTTTCAGTTTTCTCCGTTTCCAATGAAGAAAGAATTTGAATTCTATGCAGTGTTAACTCCATGTGAGGAAATCGGTCACTGTACTGAGTGACCCAATGCTGTTTATACAGTTTATTCAATCTATTAAAAAGCAAACTGTATGAGAGTGATTCCTACAGCGAGCAGCAGAGCCTAGGAGAGAAAGCTAATCCTTGAACGTTGCGTTAAAAGCTCCATAACTTCTGTTTTTGAATGAAAACCGATGTGTCTGGAGTGTTCTGTACCCAACTAAATTCTGCGCTGAGTTAGCTGTGCCCACAGCTGGAGTTCCCTCAGACCCCCGCTCCCCTTTTGGGGAACACAGGGGGAACACAGCTACAGGGCAGCCTATTACAGCAACGTTACAGGAAACTTGATTTGGGCATGAGAAAGGTTTCGGGGTGACCCATCCCACTGATAAAGTTACCTCTTGTGCCAGACCTTGTAGATGCTTAAGGACTTTCAGTGCTGAGAAGAGAGGGCTGCTGAGGTTTCTAAGGTGAGTCACTCTTGGACGTAGCTGCCTTATATTCCTCCAGAGGGGTAGGTGCCAAAGTTGTTTGGTTTTTTTTTTTCAGTTTTGGGTCTTTTTTCCCCTAATTCTTACGTTTTTGTTTGTTTCTGCTTAGAGGCCACCAAAAAGACCCTGTTTTGATGGCCTCAGGACCACCAGCATTGCTTGAAAACCAGTGCAAAGTTCCTCTTTCTCTGTGAGCACGAGGATGGAAAGCAGCAACTCCAGATACCTGCTACAGGGATTTTGATCATACACAGAAAAATAGTGCTGTTTATCCAAGAATGCTATAAAAGTACCATTGGGCAAAAGTGGCTTCTTTTTCCTTGAAGCTACCCGTATTTGCAGAAGATTATTTTAAAAGTCATAGGAACTGCAAAGAAGGCCTCATGTCATAGGCTGTTTCAGTGGATATTTAGACAAATTCTAAAAGTACACTAATAAAATAAATACAGAAATATCTGTAAAAATTATATTACAGAAGAGAAACCTGGTTAAGTATCATCCCATCCAACTGCTTAAATTCAAAATGCTTAGTCCAAGATTAGTGAAAATGAATCCCTCTGAAGAATCCAATTACTTGCTAAAACAACTGTCAAATTGCCATTTGTGTAACCATTACAATATTGGGATAGACTCAATTTGCCTCTTCATGCAGTGTACTTTACGTATAGGTCTTTTGTTAATTTTGGTATGAGTTCAGCTGTGTTCCTAATGAGCTGACATTTTCCGATGTCACTGCCCGTAGGTGCAATAATCCCCACTTAATTCCTCCTTCAGATTTTCAGCAATGAATACACTAGATCTAGGGTTGGGCAGCTGTGTTCCTAATGAGCTGACATTTTCCAATGTCACTGCCTGTAGGTGCAATAATCCCCAGTTAATTCCTTCTTCAGATTTTCAGCAATGAATACGCTACATCTAGGGTTAGGTTTTATTCGGTTTTTTTGGTTTTTTGTTTTTTTTTTTTACCAAATAGTCTCTGCAACTACAGATGTTTAATTAAAGGCTGTCAGACAATTTCAACTTCTCAGAAGAATACAAATAAAAGCTGTTAATGAAGTAAATATCTGTTTAATTTACAAACATCAGTAGCATTACTGATATCAGTCCAAATAAGACAAAGCACACTGCATTACACATGTACATCTAACTTTTTTTGTAAAAAAAATAATAAAATAAAATTGAAAAACATCTGCATTTTTACAGGGTACCCTGGGTTTTACTGAAAGAAGAACACAACCCACTATTGATTACCAATTCTACATTATAATTTAGCAGCAACATGTTAACATGGGGAACATTAGGGCAGTAAAGTAGTTTTATTATTTGGGGAAAGTCACAGTTCTTGATAGCACAGCCTTTTTTTGTTCTTTTTTATAAAAAAAGGTAAAGAGCTCCATGGGAATATTAATTTATAAAGATCTACCTTCTAATGTCATTTTCTACACGCCATCTTATTTTCTGTAAGTACTGTATATAGGGAAAAATTAACTTGTCTACAATTGCCACCTACTGTAAAGACATTTTCTGTCATACATTACAGGTTCTTGGAAGGTGTCCTGAATATCTGCTGTATGTGAAAACTGCAGATTGTCATCACTTCCAGATTCAGTGACACCGAGTGGTCAGGTTCTAAGGAAAAGAAAAAAGGAAGGGGAAGGGGAGGAAAAACCAGACCGAAAACATTTACCCCAAGACGACATGCTACGTTAGTTCTATTGCAAAAAATCCTGATTTTTAAGTCCTTTTAAAAAAAAAATAAAAAAAATTACAAAAATACTGGGACAAATATAAATTAATATATATTAAAGCATTGAAAAACAGTAAAAGGGATGGCCTAAAAGGGTTAAGTACAATGTACTTTGATACAATAAATATTTCTCAATGAAACCAAATACTGTATAGAGTTGTTTAGAACTCATAGAAACAGAAATCCATATTATTACTAATTTATCCATCAATAATCTATTTTTATCATCCCCCCAAACATTTATATTACAAAAAATTAATACTGGAAAAGGGCAGATAAACACTTTTTTATGCTTCTTTTGCTAACATGCTGACATAAAAGTATACATCATCAGGAGATTTCAGGATTATAGTATATTCTCTTATCTCCCGTTACCCATTCATTAAATGGGACCCCATCTTCTCAAGATGCTTAATAATTCCAAAAGATAAAGTGTATTTCATACAATTGTTACTCCTGTGTAATCTGATTGTTTTCACTCATAACGCTTCCTCATCCATAGGTAAGTGATTTGTATGGTCTGTCAAGACAATAAAATATACGAAAGTGAAAAAACAAGCCTCATGTTCTGGTCAGTATTTCATCTCTGAGCTGTTAAGTTGAAAGTCACGTGTGTATAGTGTCAGTGTATCTTCAGCATGTTATAAAGAAGAATCCATGTTAAAAGCAGTTAAAGTTTCCCATCTCTGTTGCAATGTTACTTTTTTTTTTTTTTTTTTTTCTTCAAAGCTCCTCTTGGTTACGAGAAGTCTCAGTTCAAGCACTTGAATCTTTTTTTTTTTTTTCAAATGAAGAAAAAAAGTCTTTATTCTCATAATAAAAATAAGTCTGTTCTGTATTTTACAATATATTTCAAATATTTCCACTATGAAGCTTTAATTAGTCCGACACGGTCAATAAGTATACAACATTTTCAAAAGACAAGTGTGACAGGGACACTTTTAGGAGGGACAATTTGTACAGCCACACTTCACCACTTTTTCAACCTCGTCCACAAACGACGACCCGTCAGTGCATTCGAAAGAGTATTTCCGTCTCTTGCTCCTCAGCGGCCCGCAGCACTGCCCACTTGAACAGCCTCCTTTACATTCTAGTCTGGATACCTTCTTGGTCGTCTGGCACGCAGCATACCCTTGCTGCTTTTGGTAGTAATCTCGGATTCGTTCCCCTCGACAAGAGATTTCTGTAGAAAACAACGTTTAAAAATGAGGGGGAGGCTTTTTTGAGACGCAGGTCAAAGAGCGGTTGACGTCGCTAGGGAAGATGCTGTGTTTTCTTTCTAATTGCAGTTGATGTTTGAAAGTTTGCCTCAGCCTGCATATTGGAAACGAGTGGTTCTACCCAAACGTAATTTGATTAATGCTGGGTTTTATTTCCTATACCTCCTATTTTCAGCAAAGTTTATATTATGTATATGTAAACCATAAATACAAAGCTATTACAATGACAAGAAAATTGGAAGCTTAAATCTTTTCCTCTTTTATAAAAATACACATCTTCTGTTCCTACATTGCTTGCAGCTGGTTCTATTTACCATAGGGAAATGTTTCAGAGAGCATGCAATTTAATTTATTAGACCTGGAGTTTAATATTATTCAAACTGTTATTTAATACAAGTTACATTCCACTAACTTCATAAATTACTGAGGTATAAAAGCAGCTAAAAATGAGACATCTGTTAAAAGTTCTACAACCATATTCTTCTATTCTATTCACGTCTACGTACAATGCAAAATAAATGCCATCTGGGGTAAGGGAAGGAGAGGGAGAGGGAGAGCTTTGATAGACAAAGGAGAAAGAAAAAGGTAGGGGGAAAAGTCATCCTGTTTTTATCCGTCTCACCTGCATAATTCGCTGTGATAAATCAGTTGAAGCTGAGAGGTCAAAAGTAGAGTTTGTGATAAAACTAGGAGCAGAATCATTGGATTTGGCTTCTCAGTTGCAGAAGGCAGAGAAACAATAAATACAGAAAGATACAGCAGGTAAAAGGTAATAGTTCAATATAGTAAAAATGTGGTTCTGAATAAAGGCAAAAAAGAGAAATGTTTTCACAGCAAAACATTTGATGAAAAAAATCCTCAAAATGTAAACAAATTCATGGGAAAAGTTTGATTTTTCTCTCCCCGAGATGAATTTTATTGGGGAAAAAAAAAAAAAAAAAAGGCAACAAATGTGTGTGTATTGTGGGAAAAAAAAAAAAGTTGATAATGCTTTTGGCTGTTCATGTTTTTAAGAAAAAAACCTGTTTTCTAAGACCAAAACAACACCGTGATTTTTTAATTTTTTTTTTTTCTTTTTGTTTTTACCTTTATCGCAGTTGTCCCCCGTGTATCCGCTGCTGCATTCGCAATATGGTTTCCCAAGTCCTGAAAGCCTGCATTTGCCATGTTTACACCTGACGGACTGGCAGGGGTTAAACAGCATTTCCTCTTCATCGCAGAGGACTCCCCCATGTCCCTGCAGGCATTTACAACTGTATGAAAACGCATTGATCGGCAAGCAGGTACCATGCACACATCTACAGGGGAAACAAGCCCAAGAGAATACAAATAAATTATTCATCAAAGTTCAGGCTAAGCAACATTAACTACAAATACTTTGGACCGTGCTCCGAAGAAATTGCTTTTGTTTCTAATGGACTTTTTTTTTTTTTCTTTCTTTTTTTTTTCAGTGAGCTGCAGGGAAGTGGTTTTTAATTGGTAGGTGGGT